GAATATTCAAATACCAACTGCATTTTGAAAATGTTGTTATTTTTCATCGCATACAATTCGTTTTTATTTTCTGTTGTGGAAGCTCTTTTTCTCACTTTCTAACACGATGTTCAATAAAAAGGAAAAGTATCTGTAATCTTGAATAATTTGATCGGATGTTTTTTTGCTGTATTTAACACCATCGACGATGCTGATGTGATGATCAATGATGACTTCCTTCCATCTGCAACAGCAGATCATTGTACTTCCGCTTTTCGGCCTTAACGCATCTTTCCTTCTTCTACACTTTCTTCTGTGGATTTTTATAATTTGCTGTTTCGTTCTAAACCAAAAGACTTTGAAAAGCATATTCAACTGCGTAAAAGACTAAAAAGGGTTTCTAAATATATCATCAATTTTCCTAGTATCTTCGTGTGCAAGAAGAGCACGCAACTTCGTGGTTCTCAAACTATCTTAATCTGACTGAACAACGGTATAGTAGCGATACATTAGAATGCCAGGACCCCGATAGATGCAGTCGTGCAAGAAACGTTTTAACTTTATATTAGACTGTGCGTTTTTTTCGTGGAATCAGACAGTGCTGGGCGAGTCCGAGCCGAGTCGCATTTTTTTAATGACTCTGACTTGACTCTGGCTCGAAAATTGGAAGACGTTGACTCGACTGTTTGACTCGAGTCATTCATTCGAAAAAAATTCTATTCATTAAGTGCTTTACATACATTTCCTCTTGTATAAATTTGGGTTATTTCTGAATACTCTTTCTTATTCTGTTTTATTGTTACGTTTCAACATCAAAGACGCCTTCGTCAGACAGAAGTAGAATAAATGTGAAGAACATATAATTAATTAGAGTATATATATATATGTAAAATTAAAAAATAGATAACGAATACCGAAAAATTGTAATTAACGTTCTCTATAAAAATAAATAGTAATCGGGAAAAAATAGAAAAATAATATTGATTCGACTCGACTCGAAAACACTGGTGACTCGACTTGACTCGACTCGAAATCGCTACGATATGACTCGGACTCGACTCGAGAAATAGCTTGACTCGCCCAGCACTGGAATCAGAGAAGTTCACAACATTTCTCATCTATGTTGGTTGTGAACGCCGACCGAAGGAAGACGTGAGCATTGTCTTTAAGCCAGAAATATGTTTAGATCTCTGGGGATCTGCGGAGGATCTCGAGAAATGTTTTTAGATTAAAGTTAGATTACGAAGCTTCCACATCAAATCACAGAAGAATTCATAGCATATTTTAGATAATCACCCAGCTCAAACAGGCATTGTCTTGGATTCAAAGTCGTTCACAAGATATAAGTTCTTCAGCCCACGGGACTGAGCGTTACCTTGTAGTCTAGGGTCTTACAAAATGGTTATCTGTCTATCTGTGCGCAAAATACGGAATATTGGCTGTCAGATATTCCCATTATAGCATTGTGTAGCGCATGAAATTCTCTATCGAACGGTATATGACAGGTGAAGCTTTCTCTAAGCGAAAAAGATGAAATAATGAAAATACTCTGTGTAAAGTTCATATAATGAAAGAAAAGTTTTCTTTATAAAAAGTTTTCCAGGAGGTACTGAAAAGGATTTTTAACATCTAAACATACATTAGGATTAATCGCGGACAAAAACTACAAAAGATCGGTTAATGTAAGTTTTATCTATGAGCGGGCGGATTTTGTCTCTTATGGATCCCTGTCCTTTTGTATTGGTTCTGATTCTTCTATATTCAATATGGAATTCAACGAATTATGCATTTTATTCAATTGACTAATAAATGTCTAAAATACACATCTTCCAAAGATCTCTCTGGAGTACCTCATAAGACTCACGTAAGAACTTTGATTCCTATATATGATGACGTACGCCGATCTTGGCTGCATGGTGGTGAAAACCCAATCTCGATAGCTCTTTGCATTCCGGAGATATTCAGCGTTCTTTCACCTGCATACTACTTTGAAACGGACAGTGACTGTAGCTCTTGCTTCATAATCCGGTGATAAGGCTTGTATTATACGATCCTGCGCAATACGCCTTAGCAAAAAACCAAAAATATGAAGTGTTCGTCACACAAACAAGAAAATTATTGTGCTTTATAATAAATGTACTTCTCGATAGTACTAAAAGATAATCACCATTGTTTCCAGTTTCAATAGCAAATGTACGTAATTGTGCATCGTCATTTCGCAATCTGATATTGGTTCTGATTTTTCTATATTCAATGTGGAATTCAATGCATTATGCATTTCATTCAACTAACTAATAAATGTCTAAAATACACAACTTCGACTTTCTGTTTTTGACACAAGCCATTCTTCTGAACATACACCTGTAATGTGATCTTGATTATCAAATTTACTTGCTTTCAGAAATTTTTCACGTACGATTTTAACAACGCTAAAACATAGATAAGGACTGGATAAGAAAATAAACCGAAAATACTTATATATTCATACCTATGCTTCAATTGCTCTTTGAATATTCGATCTGAATATGTTTGTTCTCTGCTTCAGACTGATCTAAGATCGACAAACTAAGATTAACACTACAGATGGTAACAACACGAGATTCAGTATGGCAGAAAACCTATGTTTTCATGCGAATCTGAGTTCAACCGAGTCAAAAAGCGGGCTGTTCGGACGCTTTTCGGTCCGTGAGGTCCAGTACTCGAACGGAAACAAAATTAAACGAACATCAAGAGAATAATATCAATGAAAAACTAAACAAATCGGTTGAAGAATTAAATGTATTTTAGTTTTAATTGAATTTTTAAAGAATTAGATTTTAAACTACGTATACGAGAAATAGCACATGGTGTACGGGATTCTTCAATTTTTTACTTTTTAGAGTATAACTAAAGATTGTGTAAAACAAATTGAATTTTATACAAACACATCAACTGATCTATCTACTTTAACAAAATGAAAATTGTTTATCGTCAACTTCAACAATGGCATCAGCATGATATTGAACAACATCATAGTATTGCTGAATCATACGAGTAAGTTACCCAGGTCGATGCTTACGACCGTTGTAAACTAGATATTACGATGTCAGATACTACAGTTTACGATGACGTATACTGCACTATAGGAAAGTGTCCAAAAATGTGATTGATGATCAGCATCAAACATAACCCTAATAATCTGTGTTTCATCAAAATTGGGGTGAATCGCCTGAGAAAGTTCCGTCGTAAGTTTAACTATTGAAAAAGTTTCCCTGTTCGGAGAAAAGCGTTGATATAAAAGTGTACCATTTTCTTTAAATTGATTTTTTATAAACAGGAAAATAGAAAAAATGCATAATACTACATAGAGAAATAAAAATCAGCAACCAACAAACAATGAGAAAATTCGTTCAAAAATACAATTCTCAAAAAACATCGATCAAGAAATAGTACAATACGTTTGCATAATTTTTTTGACTTGAGATGTCTCATCTTTATCTTTAACTTCATACTCTCCAATTTCTTTTGCTCGTTTTACAGCCCATTCGGGCAGAGGTGAATTCCAATCGCTTGGGGGTTCTGTACGATATTCCCATACATTGTTCATCATCGATGCATGTTTGCGTCTTAAAAGACGTTGTTCTTCATATGAAATAAGTTCTTTCTATAGAGAAAAACAAAAACTACTCATATAACGACTGTTTATAAAAAAAAACACACACAGACCAGATTGTCAATATCGCCACGTTGAGTCCAATACACGCAATTGTGCATTGCTTCAATTTTTGGGCTACAATCTTCTTTATATCCATGAATATAACGATGGGTCAATTTTCCTCTCAAACCTAAAAACAAAAAACACTTCATTTATTCTACCCAAATAAAAAATAATAGCACTACATACTGCGACAATATTTAACCTCATCATTATATTCTTCGCAAGATTTGATCTATCAACGATACATTATTAATAGAAACAAGTGAATCCATTTGGCAGTGTTATTCAGCACATACCAGCCATTGATTTGGGAGACTTGTATGAGGATCTTTGACTACGTTAGACGACTGCATTTGAATCAACTCAATTTAGTGTTAACAATCTAAAAACAACAAAGCAAATGGTTATAAATATTTCATAATGCAGTTCAATCGAGTCACTCCACTTCATTAAACATATCAAGTTACAAAACAAAGCTACATACGCATGCTTCTCATTGCAAACATAAAATGTTCGTATCTTAGCCGAGTAGATCTATGGGGACAAATACTTTTTGGTTTTTCTCTAGTTCCACCGATCGAATAGAATTATTGGTCAAACATTATCTATGACTATTTGCTTCCCGTATATGTAACCCTCATTGAATATAATAAAATATATGTAGTTTTGTCGGCGCACTCAGGTCCGAAAAGACATATTTTTCGTGTTTTCCGATTAATTTCGCTAATTTTGGTGACATTCGGCCTTTCTCAAATTGAATGCTGTTTGATGAAACAGTGCTGTAGAGAGCCCAGAGGCATCTTGATTTGTTCAGGAATGTGCACGATAAGGCTGTTACAAAAAAAGTACCATTGAAACTTGGGGACTTAGTTTTCTGGGATTTTGGTTTTTCAGAAACCTGGATCGCAAACTTGAATGGAATCATTATTTGCCACAGACCAGATTGGAAACTCCTTGAGCTTTATATTTGTTGTAGCTATTATCTTCGAGGAGAAAAACTGAAAATACACTTGGTTCAATAGTTTTGAGAGTAAATAAAAATAGGGGCAGTCATATACTATTTAGCATATAGATGCTTGACGGTATGTTTTCTAAAAAAATCTAATATATTTCAATTTGAACTCGTTAAATTCTGCACTTTTTATAAATAAAAATACAATAGTAATCCTTTAGTCTTCAATTTCATTTATTTCCTTTGCAGAAACATAAACAATCAAACAGACCATAACAAATCAAAAAAAACAGCATAAAAACTTGGACTCGTACTATATAAAATTAGTATCAAAAAGAAATATGTGACTACTAGAGTCAGATAAACTGAACAAATTTAAAAGCATTTCCTGAAACTACAAGATTGAGATTATACCTTACATTACACTTTATCTCTAAACAAAAATTGATTATTTTCGATCTTCTGTTATTTTAAACTGCTTGTTAACATCATTCTAAAACAATTGCATTGCGTTTTTACCAAGACAAAGTGACGGTTTCTTTTCGTCAGGCACAATATTTCCAAAAACCAAAACAAGGATTTAAATGAGGAATTAAAAACCAAACGATTTTAATCAGTTCGCGGGATATCTTCGTAAACTATTGTGCACTCAAATTTTGAAAGAAACTGGCTTCGCCAACGATTGGACTTTCTTTTTCGCTTAGGATCAGAAAGTTTCTTTCGCCGCTCTTAAATTGTACAGGAATCCATTTAAATAGTCTCTAAGGCAATTGTACATGAGCGCAAACGCAGAAATACATACCGTAATTTAAGCTTTGTAATTAGATCAAACACAAATCGATATAATATATAGGAAATACATTATATAATCAGAAAAAAAGCCATAAGGAATTCCTATTTAATCTAACGAAAACATATGAAGTCCTGTCGGATAAAATTTTATTAACTAAAACAATGACACACTATATAAAATTAGTATCAAAAAGAAATATGTGACCACTAGAGTCAGATAAAGTCAACAAATTTAAAAGCATTTCCTGAAACTACAAGATTGAAAAAACAATTAAAAAATGCGTTAGTAATTTTGTTCCATTAATATCACATACATTGGGAAGAGACAAAATGTAATTTAAAACAGAAAGAAGATCTGACACATTCATGGACAGAATGAGCGAAATAAAAGAAACTAAAAATTAATAAAAAATGGAACGTTTATTATTCACCATAAAAAAATTCATTAAAATGGTTAAATAATTACGTGCGTGTTCGAAGTCCCCATATACTTGTTCTTCTTATCCCAATTGTCGGTCTTGCCACAGATGATAAATGATATTTATTTATCTGTATTTTTGATCCAAGCATTGCACGCAACTTTTGTATTCCACGGTCATCAACAACGCCAAATATATCCAGTGCTACTAAATTATCCAATTTTTTCAATGATCTAAAATATACACAATAACAACACAATGTTCACAATGAGACAGACTATCATCACTTTTCGACAACGTACGCATAAGCAATAGGAGCAATTGTATAACAACGAGAGAACGACACATGTTCCAACTGTCTCAAGTAGCGAATAATGACATTAATCGATTTATCTGTTATTAAATTAGAATCACTTAAATCTAATACACGCAAATGTTGAGCGCGACGAACCAGATTTTCAACACCTAAACAATATCGAATAAAAACATAATTTCTCGGCTCAGATACATGAGAAAAGTGATCTGATTTAACAAAACGAGAACAACAAGCTTCACAACTTCACTTACAATCATCATTCATCGTTTGGCGACATCCACTTAAGCATAACTGTTCGACACTTGGCTGAATGGTTTGACAAAGTAACGTCAATGAAGCATCGTCTAATTGTGTCCAGCCAATATTCAAATGACGGAGTCTGTAAAAGAAAATATTTTAAAATGGTTAAAAGATAAATATAGTATAAATGTATCTCCATACTGTTTTAATTTTAATGTCAATTCACGAATTGAATTCGAATCTAGACCGGTACACATTGTCAAGTTTAACGTCTCTAATTGTTCATTTAAAACTAATTTACTAGAATAGAAAACAAGAAAAACGACGTTAATGTATTACCAGAAAAATATTAATCATTTTTTTCTATCTAATCAAATTGATCTTACCAAATTATTTTACAATTGAGCTCTAATGATTCAAGACTTAATTTTTTTAATAATCGGCATGAATTTATCAGATTAAATAAACATTCTTGTGTAATGGTAGCCATTGTCAAATCTAGGTACTGGAGTTTTGTAAATCTGTCAAAAGAAAAAGAACTTATAATTAACGTTTCAATTCATCACTTTTAAACGTACGCTAATTGATTGGACGGATATAGTAAAGAACCATTAACCTAGAAGAAAAATAGTTTGCTTTCAGAATTCAACATACACAAAAATACTTCGAATACATACCGTAGTTTGATACATTTTTAGTACAATAACACCGCGTAATAATAATGTATGTAAATATAAACTAAGTATTTGTTTTCGAGACATATCGACTCGAAACCATAGACTTGAATCATATCTAAGAGAGGAAAAACGATTTATGAAAAACGATCACTATGCTTTTCTGGTCAATACTTTTCCTATTATTATATAGGATAAATCCAAGTATCTTTGTTAATCTATTTCTTTGAAAAAACGAAATAATGTATGACTTACGCTAAAGAACGGAACCTTCGACAGACTTGAGCAAACGAAGCCAAATCACGTTTTGGCAAATATCGAAGAATTGATAGTAACAATTCATCGGATAAATTGTTTAAATAATCTATAAGAACAAAAACAAAAAAGGAGTGTACTTAGATGCATTTTATTTTATTATGTTTTGCTTACTATGTCCTATCGCCATGATAGAAGTATCTGAAACTGTTAAGCGTGCGCGAAGAGGTAAAAGATTTGATAAATCAATCGGACGAAGAACAATATGAACTGATGATACTTCTTTTGTTTGAGGCAAAATGGCAGATGTATTAAAATGAGTGTCGTCGCAGTATGAATTATTGGCCGAAAATAAATTCTAAAGGAAAAACTAACGGCTATTAAATGGTAACAGAATCATTAGAGTACTTACAAGAGATGAATAGTCGATGATATTTGAGATACCACTGCCCGGTCTTTTCTTTTCAAGATAAGACGAATTTGATATTTTTCTATTATCTGAGACTTGTTGTTCAAATTGAGGATTATCTTTACGATCCCTGAATAGGGCATCGGGTGCTTTCGAGCATATATTTGAATATATACCAGTCGCTTGTCTGAAAAAAACTACAGATTAACAGAAAAAAATCGGAAAATTAGTTTGAAGATTCAACTTACACAGTTTGTGGAAGTACGTCAGTTGAATCGCATCGAACTAAAGTTCGCGTAGGTCGTTGTGCTTTTAATGCATGGTATTTTTCTTTTACTTTTGTTGGTTCCATTACACCCAATCTCTAAATAAAAATTGATTATTTTCGATCTTCAGCTATTTTAAACAATTGCATTCTTCATTCTAAAACAATTGCACTGCATTTCTACGAAGACAAAGTGACGGTTTCGTTTCGTCAGGCGCAATATTTCACCATTCTAATCAAGAAACTAACAGACCAATGAGAACCTGTTTAAACCCGTCTAACAGTTTCTAAACCGTCACAGATAATGTGTTGAATTTCATTTCATCTTTTTTTCTAGTAAAAATTATCTTTGAGTCATGTAAATAATGCTTCTTTCTAGCGCTATATTCTACATGAGAAGTAATTCCATGTGTGAGCTATTTAAATAGATTCAGGCAAAGATGTATTTAACTTTCGATTAAAAATACAATAGTAATCCTTTAGTCTTCAATTTCATTTATTTCCTTTGGAGAAACATAAACAATCAAACAGACCATAACAAATCGAAAAAAAACAGCATAAAAACTTGGACTCGTACTTGAAAACCAAACTAGAAAATTCGTAATATCTACCAATTTTATTAGCACAATAAGTTCACGCAAACTCCTAATAAGGGACTTTTTATCGTTTAATCAACTAAAGCTCTCTTCACATAGTATACACAATTGCTTCACAGAAGCAAACAAGAGTCTAATTACAACGAATGTACATTGGAAAAGAACGGAAGCACAATGATTCCTGATAAAGCAAAATAACTGCAAGTACATTAATTATTGGCAAACAAAGTCATTAGAAGTTCAGTCAAATAGTGTGCGAGAAACGAAAAAGCACAAACAATCACATGTCAAAAAGAACACAAAAATAAACTCAAAATTACTTGTTCCTCAGGACACATATCATAGTGTCAAAAAAACAAAAACAATATATATATATATATATATATATATGAGAAGCAAAACAATGAAGGACTGAAAATTCGAAGAACTGACCAAGAAAAGACTAATAACGACTGATGAAACCGGAAAGACAAAACAATGGCAAAAACTATTCAACTGTTACATATTCTGGTTCGAACATACCTATGTTCTCTGTTGTAAGCTAATAAAAGTTCACTGTACGTATCATCTTCACGTGTGAGTTCTAAATCTGCAGTCATTCGTTTTTCGTATGCTCGTTGTCGGTCTTGCCACAGATGATAAATGATATTTATTTATCTGTATTTTTGATCCAAGCATTGCACGCAACTTTTGTATTCCACGGTCATCAACAACGCCAAATATATCCAGTGCTACTAAATTATCCAATTTTTTCAATGATCTAAAATATACACAATAACAACACAATGTTCACAATGAGACAGACTATCATCACTTTTCGACAACGTACGCATAAGCAATAGGAGCAATTGTATAACAACGAGAGAACGACACATGTTCCAACTGTCTCAAGTAGCGAATAATGACATTAATCGATTTATCTGTTATTAAATTAGAATCACTTAAATCTAATACACGCAAATGTTGAGCGCGACGAACCAGATTTTCAACACCTAAACAATATCGAATAAAAACATAATTTCTCGGCTCAGATACATGAGAAAAGTGATCTGATTTAACAAAACGAGAACAACAAGCTTCACAACTTCACTTACAATCATCATTCATCGTTTGGCGACATCCACTTAAGCATAACTGTTCGACACTTGGCTGAATGGTTTGACAAAGTAACGTCAATGAAGCATCGTCTAATTGTGTCCAGCCAATATTCAAATGACGTAGCCTAGGATCAGAAAGTAGCACAATGAAGCCAGTGAATCGGAGAATTCTCCATGTTGCAGAATAAAACTCGCATTTAGATGGAGGATTCGTTTGAAGGTCTAATCGATGGCATATTTTTTTTCTCAATGAGTCGACACAATGACTATGATTATGGAAGCTCATTTTTGTTTAGGTATTGAAAGAATTCTTGCACATTGATTGGATTTCTCATTTATTAAAAGACAATGCACTAAACTTATTTGATGCTGTCGTCTCACTTTATGTAAGTTATTTTCCGTAAACAAAACATACTTTTTCAATTTTTGTGTTATCTCAGTAATCGATTGTAGACATAAACCATTGCACATTGTCAAATTAAGTGTTTGTAGATTCTCATTCATTGCCATTTTTCTAAACAAAAAACAGGAAATATTTAAATACTTTTTTAAAAGTAGGAGGGAAAGCGACTTAAAAAAAAAGCTGAAAGCACAATGAATAACTCATTGACCCGCTTACTCAACAATTTTAAAATCAACATCAATTGTTTCAAGACTTAATTTTTTTAAATGACGACAACTGTTAATTAGTCTATATAAACAATCGGAAGATATGATAGCCATTGTTAAATCGAGGCATTGCAATTTTGATGATCTATATAAAAGGATAAAAGATGAAGATCATGCTATTTCATGATTTTGTTAATATTTCATTAACAGACTTACATAGAATAATCTAACGGATGCAATACTGAACCAATGACCTGTAAAACAAAAAATAATGTATCAGAAATAGACATTTAACATAAAATACTCACAGTAGTTGAAAACATTTTTAGATAAAGAGTACCGCGTCGAAGTATAGTATTTAAATCCGAACTACGAATATTTTGACTTGATATATTAATTCGAGGCCATAAGCTTGGATCAAGCCTAAACAGAAAATGTAAAAAATAATATTGTAATATCGAATTGATATAATAGCTGAAAAATACACCATTAAACATGAAAGAGAAATAGTTCGATTGTACTTACGCTAACGAATGAAATCGACGACAAACTTGTGCGAACGATGCAAGTGAGTGTTTTGGTAAATAATTTAATATTGACAATAATATTTCATCAGATAAATCGTTTAAGTAGTCTATAAAACGAAAGAAGAATGAAATCATCGTTTAAAATAATTCCTATGATTTAGATTCGCAAATATCTCACCACGCGTTTGTTCATTAAAAGAACTTTGAGTTTGTGGTTTTCTTCGACGTTTTACAAAATTTAAATTATCAATCGGCGAGCCCATTTGCGTACAAACATTTTCTACTTTTTCTCTGATGAAATTTGTACAAACTTTCTTCTTTTGAATATAGTTTTCTTTACCTATGGGAAGTTTCTAAACAGAAAATTTAAAAAAACATGAATTAATTAGAGTTACCTCTGGCTGTATGAATGCAAACCCTTTTTCTCGTTGCCATTGAACAAATGGTTATATAATATGGCTGATTAGTTTTTCTGAAATAGACATAAAAATGAAAAAGGATACTTTCATCTTCATGCGGGAGGAAAGTGACACATTTTGTTCAAAATACTATAATTATCTTATAATTTAAGACTCCAAGTATCATTTTAGTCTAGAAGTGTTATTAATTGAGATTGTGGCGCAATAAGTATAGCTTCTTTCTTATATAGTTTACAAATTGAAAAAGCACGTATTAGGCACATATAAAGAGTAAAAAAGTTTTGTTAGTACCGTTCACACACAGAATATATAGATAGAACAAGTCACCGTTCTTATAGAACCAGAAAATACGCAGTTTTTATTCGTCTGTCTATTTATAAATATGAAGCGTAATGAGTTTATTAAAAAGAAACAAAAACAAATCTGATTATGTACAATTATCTGCTTTCTGTTCACCAATATTTCTCATCAGATCGTTCATAGTCAGATTATTGGGACTTTTACATAAAAAACTGAAGTACAATCTAAACTTCAAAGTATAGATGATACACTCTGTTTTGTTTTATAAAGCGTAAAACAGGGTGGTGTACAGTCATTTTTCAAAGTGAATAAATCCATACACTTTGTCGCTGAAACACTGACTTCTCTTCTTTTGAATGAGAGAACGGCATAGATTGTTTAGGAAATAAAAAGAATGAGCAGAATCAAGAACAAAACAGAATTATTCAATTTATTTGAACTCAAAATCTTACTTTCGTTTACTTTTTTGTCGTATAATTTGAATTTGGATATATAGACGTCCAATAGATTTGATTTTATTATTGTCATCTATTGATTGATTGATAAGTTGTAAACCTCGATTTTATTGGTTTAAAAGGGGTAAAATCAGACACAAAGGCTAAAACATGGATGGATTGGTACAGATAAAAGAAAAAACACGTAAGTCTCTTTTTTATCACATTTTTCTGCTGCTCATATACGGACACACGAGTCCATTTATTGATTTATGCATCGATCTCAGAATCAAATGTTCTCACCTTTTTTCTAGTATTGAATTACTGCTTCTTTTAGCTGAAATGCTCATTTCATAATTATCGTAGTTTGGTAATGACTAAGAAGCAAGATTTTTTGGTTTTTTGAGAGTATGTACACCACCCTTTCTTTTCTTAAAAAATATGTTGCTTGCTACTAAAAGTTGGAATATTGTATTGAGAAAGAATAAGATGAGAGGATACCACCGTTAACGTCCATTGCCGATCGATCGGTTTTTACACAACCGTTTCTATAAACTATGAGAACTTCTTGAAATAAAAAAATGACCATGAAATTCTTGGAAAGAATGCATCTTCTACAAACTTTTAAAACATCCACATGATGGTTAGGGTGAGCGATATTATAGGTTTTCTAACGAGTGTCGCGTTTTTCTTAATAAACATATTTAGGTAAGAGATGATGTATTATATTCCAGAAGTGCTGTCAGATTGAAATATATAAGCAAATTTTATAACGTTTACATGAGCTTCAGGATGCGCCATTTTTATCAAAGACTAATTATATTACATCTGCTTCTTGTATCATGATGTTGTTTTCAAAGTTTAAGGGCATTCTTTTGAGATTGGTTTTGGAGTTTGTAGAGCAGGTCGCTCTAATGCCGATGAAAGCTATGGAAAGTTAAAGGGTTGAATTTTTTACAAGAAACTCAAAATCGGCAACATTTTAAACATTGACCAATATTGATCATGGTGATTGTACATGTATTGGGCTGCCTGTCCTTTTTTCTAATATTTTTTAAAGAATTCGAAAATGAAGGTTTCATTATGCTCGATAAAAATCTTCAAACAAAGTATAAACGGAATCTATATGAATGTCATTTACTCTACTTAATTGTCTTTAACGATGAAAGATTAATAATTAGTGCAAGATCAATGATAAATATTGTTTTGTTATATAAAATAATGCAGGAACTGTTGATTAAATTCACTAATTATCTTCCACTATAGAATATTTAAGTTTACATTCGCAGATAAACAAAGGTAATCGGTACACTGCCCTAAAATTCACACGTGTGATAAATCTTAATCAATGCTTTATCATAATCTTTATCCAAATTTTATGAGCGTAATAATCTATGCAGTCGGTCCCTTATCACGGTGCGAAGAATATGAGAAAACGTTGAAATGTTTGTTCAGAATACCTTACCTCTTTTTGATAAAAATTTCTATTTTGAGCGGAACATAATCCAATGTGGAGGAAAGATGGGGTTACAAGATAAGACTACTCTCTGTGTTTCTTAATCTTTTTTGTTTCCAGAGACTGCAAAGTTTTTTCTTATATTCCGTCTGATGAGTAAAGTGTGCTCTTCATAATGAGACTACTTTCAAACTTGTGTAATGGTTTTTTGCACAGATATGAGTATCGGTGCGAGCCTCTTGGAAAAAAGTGATCTGTTTAAGTTATTTCAAATACTCAAATCGTTGGTGTCTGTCGTCCAGATCCCTCAAAAAAATCGTGCGACCGCGTCCAAATTTTCATCATAGATACTGCAGAGCCTATCTCAGGTTCAAATATTCGATGATATTAAACTTTATTCTAAAAATGTTGCTACTGATTTTGTCCACTACATCGAACAGATGACACAATCGTTACATCATATATCAGCAATAAGTTTTTGTTGTTTACAAACTTATCTTGATGTGTCAGTGAAACTATTAAAACAAATATAATAACAGATTATGCCTGAATGGTACAAGCCGAACAGTTAAGTACTCAATTGGCACCGATATACGAGTTGCAGAAAAAATGTAGTTTTACCAAACAACGGCTCGATATTGTAAGTCAGTTAATATAATTTTGCATTATCTCATTTTTTTTTCTGATGGATGCTATACTGTCTAAGAAATACATTTTTATCTCTTCGTAGCACATGTCTCATATTTCTTCTGCCTATGCCTTTTTTTTTCAAAATACGTTGTCGAAATTATTTTCAAAAGAAATCATGATTACAATCTTCGCTATTATCAGTAGATTTAAATACTTTAATTATTGAATATAAAATTAAAACAATTAAAATAATACCATCGATTTAATTAATACATGGAGTGAAATAAATCATAGAGTAGCAGAGAAAAGAATAATAACAGACACAAATATATTAACTCGCGTTGAAGCTTATTATTACTAACGGTCTTCGAATTGATTGCTATTTTATAATAATCGACGATAGAACTAGAAAGAGAGAATAGATGTAGGCAATAAACTAATTTTTTTAATCTTTCAACGATGCATCAGTTAAAACTGAATAAAACTAACAATAGAATCAAGTTATTGATAAACTATATTCTTAAAATATGATTCTGTTTTTTCTGTTACATCATTAATAAACAGCTTAGATCAAAATATGATTCATGCTTTGTTCTTAACGGTGATTTAAGCTTTTTTTTTAATATACTATTAAGTATACAAAAGACAATTGAAAAGAAGAAAATCAACTCAAGAGTGGTAATTACATTGTAACAAACTTATGTCAGTTATGAGAACGAATGCTTTGGCCAATGGTAGTTTTTTGAAACAAAAATTTATAGACAAAAATTTCTGATATTCTGATCGATCTAGAATTTATTCAGTAATTTCTTTACTGTTGTTTCTAGGTTTTGAACATGGTATGTGTAAATGAGAGGATGAACCTCTTCTATGTTTGTCAGCTTCGGTAACTCATGATAATCAACTTACAGTGCTGTATCTTTCTTACAGCATAAAATAGAATTATGACTAATTAGATTTTTATATATCACACGAACTATGTTTAATACATCGTTGTAGGAAATAAAGATAAAAAATATAGTTTGTCATCTGTAAGTAGAAAATAAAATGACTAATTTGTCTGTGAGTTATGTCAACGTATAAACAAATAAATCTGTTTTTAAAAATCTCAACGATCTTTTTCAGTTTGATAGTTCATTCTTTTACCCTATTCTTATTGGATTACTATTTTTTTTCTAGAAAAATATTTAAAAAAGTTATGTCATGTGTGTTTCATTCACTCAAAAAAAATTTGCTTAATACTGTAAGTTTTCAGAAAATTTTTGTGCAAAACCAAATGTCGACAATAATCAATGATAATAATAACAATAATAATAATAATAATAATAATCATAGTGATAATCATAATGATGCAAATGAAAAACACAAATTTAAAACACTTGTCATATTTGATGTTGAAACAACTGGCTTAGTACCAGAACAACCTAAAATCACCGAATTAGCAATGGTGGCCGTTGACATGTATGTATTCACATATTTGTTGGTATATATATATATGTGATCAACGATGCAAATGACTCTCAATTTTAGTTCAGCATTAGAATCAACAAATGAAGAACTACCAAGAGTAATGGTAAAGAATTAATTAATATATTTACATTTATTTCAACTTTATATATTTTTAGAACAAATTTATCAAAGTTTTTAATCCCGAAAAATTATTGAACCCTATTGCTGCAAAAGTATCAGGCATATCAAATTTAATGTTGTTAGATTATCCAAAATTTTCTTTACGTACATTGAATGCAATCGATGAATTTCTAGGTGATCTTCAACAGCCTATGTGTTTAATAGGTAATCATTACATACACATATGAACTATAATTGCTTGAATTTTTTTGTTTCTTATATTTAGCTCATAACGGTGATAATTTTGACTTTCCTGTTTTATCAAATCAAATTAGAACGTTATTTAACGAAGATACCCAACAATTTGCACAACCACATTCAAGCTCATTGCCATCAACCGCACCAATAAACCCAGCGGATTCATCTACAGCCGTCTCAACTTGTGCATCCTCCTCATCTCTTTCGTCATCTACAGATGTTTCTTGTTCAATACCTACATGCTCGATACCATCCAATGTTCAACAACACCCATCATTATCGTCGTTATTATTCAGTACCGCCTGTGCAGATAGTATCAAATTTTTTCGTTATATTCATCGTTTAATGAATGATAAAGATTTATTACAAACAAATGATTCCTCATCAATTTTACTAGACGGTTCATCAAGTCCAAAATCAAGATGTCTAATCGAAGAGACAAACTCAGATTTTTCAAAAGGTTCTATTACTCCACCGAATACTCCGCAAAAAATATTAGCAGCTGTTCAAAATTCTACGAGTTCATGTGAAAAAATAACTGAATGTGAAACTGCTGAGTTGTGTACAATTCCATCGAGTGAATCCGATGTAGCAATCGCAAGTGTTGAAACATCCAGACAAACTATGGAACCTGAAACAACTGAAAAGAAGCCATTAAATGTTGAAAAACGTCTTAAAGTGATTGATCTTGATGAAAAACCCCGATATGTACCATCTAATTATGTAAAACGAACAAGTTTTAGCTTGAGTGAGATTTATTTACGTGAATTTAATCGTCATACACCTTATTCATCACATCGCGCCGAGGATGATTGTTTAACATTGCTAGCTTGTCTAAAAAGATATCTTCCAGATGTGCTTGAATGGATTGAAAGTAATCATAGACCATTGAATCAATTTATAATGCCAATGTTCACTTTCTCATCGTCTTCAACCAATACACAAAATCATGAGCCAGTGAATAATCAAAATGTACAAAGAGTAAAACGACCGTTAAGATTTTGACAAATTTTTTTTTTTATTACTTTTGTTTGATATTGTTATGTTTTGAACAGTTTCAAAAATATAGATGTTTCTGTCGTTACTTTGAAATTTTAATATAATAATAGTAATGATAGTCAAATGTATCTTTTTATTTGGTTAATAAATGACCACTTGACTAAAGATTTGAGCTTTATCGTTGAAATACTTTCAATCCACAGTATTCGAACAATTCTGAGATGCTCATCTGTCTTTTTTGTCCTCGTCATTTCGTCTCAGTCGTATAAGTAGACTACCCTGGAAAACGTACGTATATAGTAGTATTCCTTGTAGTACTTTGCAGGAGTAATACATTGAGAATCACTGAAAAATCAGTAGTTTTTAGTACTACCGTTGTTCTATTCCACGTGCGTTGAACTATTGCTACTTCTACTGCTTACGTATTTTTACGTTTATAGCAGTGTTTGCAGTGCTACCACTTGCATTTCTATAATACTATTAATAGTACCACTCTATTATATTTATTTTCATTTATAAGGACTGCTGTGACTTCTCATACAGGCCATTGTCAGAGGCTGTACAGCCAATAGCGGCCATGGAATAAGATGTCGGATAAAATTTCCAACACTATTTGTTTACATTTAAAAAAGAAAAGTTAGGATTTTTTTATGTGAAATTGGTACTTTATTTTCTATACTTTACTTCAGTTAGTTTAGTTAACTGTGTTATATAAAATTGTATGAATGCGATAGAACCTTCAACCTTCATTTGTGTGATTATATTCATAAATAATAACTGATGTAAAGTGATTGTAAAAGTAAAAAATGTTCTTGCTTCCTGTTTGTTACAGCGCGTTGTCATACAAATTCAGCCATGGATAACTTTTTGTCACTGTGAAGTTGATGAGAATGAGTTGTTGATAGTGTCAACAGCTCATTTTCATGCTTCAAATCCAAATCATTATAAAATTAATAAAGTTAAAATGAAACAAAACGTCGGGCTGCTCACACAGACGAACTCTCGAGTTTTAATTTTACATGGCGCTTTACGAATCATGCCACTAAGTGCTGTTGGTGATTTACCCACTGATGATACATTATTGAGAACCATTCAACGTCAAAAAAAACCAGTTCCATTAGGTTCTAACAGTCGTTTACCTGATGCGTTGAAAAAAACAGATCGCGGAGAATTTGTTCTTTATGAAAGTAATGATATGATTATATTTATGTGTGAGTCAAATTTGCAAGCGTTGATAAATTGTAAGTACTGGTTTGCTGATAGAATATTTAGTGTAAGACAGGATGATGTTTTATGTGAAGTTTATTCAGTATAAGTGCATTATTGGTAAGTCCAGACAATTTTTATCAATTGTTTAGTTTACATGGTTTATTCATTTCTATGGCGTATTTTAATTTTAACCAAGTCAATATTTTGTTTATGACACAATTAACTACCCAAATATCGATTAAATGAATGAGTAATCGAGTTCAGACTTTTCTCTTTTGTCCGTAAATGATGTACCTTAAACGTCAAGAACTATCCTTCCTCATGTAGAGTGAGTTTGTTAAAGAGTTCAAAAACAACAGTTATTCTCGTAAAAATAATACTCCGAATGCCTATTTGTAAGTAGTAATTAATTGATTGTATGGTGAGGTAGGGATGTTAGTTTAGTTTGATTGTTCATTTATAATAATGTATAAATATACATTCGTCATTTATATTTCAAAATAAATATACATAAATGAAAAAAAATTATTTTTATAAAATAAAATAAAGTTTTTATTTTTTAGAATATATGCAGTAGATGTGGCATGTTCTAAGACCACAGACTTTGTTGTTATTCAGACGAAGTACTTTATTAAGGAGATGTTTCTGATTAAAAAAGTAAGCCACAAGATGACATTCCGGCGATCTGAGTGTCATACGAATGTAGATATTTCTTTTTTAAGTACGGGAAGCGTCGAATGAGCCCTGTTCATACTATTGGATCATACTTTTGATTTTTTATTGATCTTTCGTGCTTCGCTTACCTCTTTGCGGAAAATGTCATTGTTCGATTAGTAAGGAAATCATTTCTGCTTTTTGTCTATTCCCACAGAATACATGAAGTGATTGGATGTAGACTACTGATATAGGACAGCAAGTAAATATAACAGATATTCGCATGTGTGTTTTTCTGAGCGAGGAAAACAATGTGAAAAACTTTTCTAATTTGTAAAAGTCTAATAGTCTTAAAGTCTAACAAAAGTCTAAATGTTAAAATGAATCTTTGATTATTACACATATCACTACATTTGACATATTTATGAAGAACTCACTAAGAAAATTTTTTGATGAAACTCTTTTTTGACGAACGAGGTTTCGATAAAAGTTCAATGAATCCTGCACCTCTAATCTAACCAAAATGAAACAAAATTGTTTACAAAATAATGTATGACAGTAAGTTTCCAAATCATCTTCAGTGCATCTAACTAAACTTGACTAGTTAGTTACCAGTTAGTTATGCACTTCAATTATTTTCCTGACCTCATTCAATTCTCTACACAAAATATATTGAAAATTTTTTTATATACTATAAGAATAAAAAAATATAGAGAAAATACGGGAAAGTTTCAAGATCGATTTTACTTTCAAAATGAAGTAACAGGTTTTTCAATTTCAGTCCCTTATATTTTACGATGTGAAAAAAGAGAAAATGGCCATTTTGTAGTTTTCGAAAAGCGCTATCAACTGGCTATATTTAAGAACAGGAGGATTATTTTTCTTTAGCAATTTTGCCCAAAATCATAATTTTTTAACTGCAGTTTTGAGGCACTTAGGAAAATTTGTGTGATTTGTTCCAAACAGGGCCGCAAATAGGAGCCGAACATTAGGGGGATGTAAACCAAAATTTCTCTCTGAGGTAGTGTGAAATTTATAAAAAAAAATGCGAATCTTTTAAAACAGTCATAGTACGGAACAAAAAAATTCCAATTATTCGGGGGATGCGCAGCCCCCCCCCCCGTTATTTGCGCCCCTGGGTCCAAACCACATATTATGACTTTAGATCTGGTTTATCTTAAAGCAAAATAATTCTTCTGCTACATCCGAACAGGGAAAGTCGAATAGCCCCGTTTCGTTTCCTGTGTCAAGGCGAAAAAATCGAATTTTCCCTTTTTTTTAATTTGTAGTAAAATCTTCGTTCATGGCAGAAAAAAAGGTTTATAGCGAATTTATGACACAAGAAAAGAAAGGTGACATTTCGGAGCATCAGAAAATACATTCGATTCCACGTTGATGCATAACACCGCGTTCAAAATAAATATGTTTTTGGTTGCGCTATGGGTTTGAAAGTAATCAGTATTGAAGCTTTCTTGTATTTTCTCTATATTTTTTTATTCTTATAGTATATTAAAAAATGTTCAATATGTTTTGTGTAGAGAATTGAATGAAGTCTTCTTTTTAGAAAAGATTGAGACTTGGCTACCAACCTTGACCGAGATATTGAGAAAATACTGAATGAGGCAGGAGTTCTGGGCCACCCTTTATGGCATGAGAGAATATTCTTTATGAATAGAATAAAACATTTTCGTACTCTAACGAATTTATATCAGAGATGGCACAATTCAATCTCCGAGAATGTGACATGGTTTTCTATCCTACGTTATGTATTGAGAGTTTAAAAACGATAGAGAATTGAAATTTTTTTTAGAAGTTTAGAAAATTAATTAAATTATCACAATTGACTCTGGAAAATGCTATTTTTTTTTAAAACGTCGATAACATAGTTGACTTGGAAAAAGTAAATAATTCATTTTTCGATAACACTAACACCCGTTTAAATATTGTATGTTGAAGACTATCCCACACATACGGTGTGCAATTCCAACATAGGAGGCAGATATCACAACTCTATTGCGAATAAGACGAAGAAGCAAATATGGAAAACGGTTATCGAAAGTCTAACTTAGCACTTGATGACCTGTTAAGAGTAGAATGACCCATTAGCATTAAAGAATAATATTATTTATATATCTATTATTTTAAATGGAATAATAATAACAATTTCTTTTTACATCAAAAAAGTTAGCTTTACCTTGATTCATATTTACATGAAAAAAAAATGTTTAACATTCATCTTGTCTTATATTTCAAGTTTTTTTTCAAAAATAATTTTTTTGTTATTTGAACACATAGATTTGCAAAGCAAACGTTTCTGATCAAAATAAGAGCTCGCACAACTCTATATGACCTTGCATCAAAAAGTTACAGGCATTTTCCTAGAAGTTCTAAAATTGAGCATTTTATACAGCGTTTTCTCTAAATGGAAGTCCATGTAGTTAGGTGTCTGGTTTAGAACAAAACAAACCCGAACTCTTCAGCTTGAAGTATATTAAAAAATCTTAGGACACACTTCAGGATCCTTTTTGAACCTTGATCTCTAGAAAACTCCTGAACCATAAGACTTGGAGACAAAAAAATTTGTCATTCCCGTAACTCATTGTGTCTAACATTTATGGAAAGTTTCGTCAAGATCGGATGTACGGTGTCGGAGATAATTTCTGAGGGAAGAAGGGGGGGCCCTTAAGAGATAAAATATTATTATCACTACAAAACTGGTAAACTTGAGAAATAATTAATTATTTGAACACATCATCGAACATTCACAGTCATGACTTGTGCTTTTCTTATGTGTAACATACCTCATTAAACATAACATCCAAGCATAGCGGTGCGCGTTTATTAGGAAGATACTATCGGTTATGAGGATACTTGACACAGTTATGCTAAAGGCTGTATTACATGAGAAAATTATGAATTTTTCAAATAGCGCCTAGAGTGTTATTCAACATTAGTGATATTTTACATCTTAGTTTAGACCCTTAATAATGGTAGAAAGAAGAAATCCTATGAAACATTAAATCAGTCTATCTGATTTTCTGACCTAAAGTTGTTCCAGCAATATTTTTACAATTCTAACGAGAGAAGGCCAACTGTTCCATCGCTTTTCGCCTAAAACTTAGTGGACAATGGGTAATCGAGTGTGCTGAATCCGAATATCACAATGGTTTTCCCCAAAGGGCTCTGGAGTCTCCCAATTTTTGGAAAAACAGTTTTTCAGAAACTCTAAAAAATAACCCAAACCTTTCTTAATAAGGTCTGATTGTAGCCTGTACATTTCTGATTAAAATGAGACATCTCCCAGCTCTACACGATCTTTCTTTGCAAAGTTAGAGAATTTACAAGAAAAGCCCTAAATGTTCATTGTCAACTCAAAGCTACAGAAAGAAATAAGAAATTAATTTAGGGCTTTTCTTGTAAATTCTATAACTTTGCAAAGAAAGATCGTGTAGAGCTGGGAGATGTCTCATTTTAATCAGAAATGTGCAGGCTACAATCAGACCTTATTAAGAAAGGTTTGGGTTATTGGCCCATAAAGAATGTTACTCTCACTATTTTTCCTTTATCTTCTGTTCCTTCCATCCCTAGAGATTCTTTTTTTATACGATGCTCCGTGAAATTCTCTACAAGAACTAAATCAAAAGTTTTGGTCTACGATATTAAAAATAGCATATGAAAGACTTTGAAAAGCCTGAAATGACATTTTTCATAACTTGTTTTCTATACATATAAACTTTTTTCTCTTGACTTTAACGTTCATTAAAACCTCAAAACCTTCATTTCTTCCCAAACTACACGAGTTTTATGGATGGTCTCAAACATGCGGAATACACAAAACCAAGTACAGCAAAATCATAAGAAAAAACAAAAAGTTTTTATTATAAACGGATTTCGATGTAAAAGTATTTGAATTATAAGTACAAGATAGAGCTTTTCACAGGCTACAAAGTGGATAATTTAGTTTTGTTCGATCTCAAAGAACTAACGAACAAAATCGTTTTTTAAATTATGAAGTTTGTCATTTTCAGGCTTTTCAGAGTCTTTCATATACTTTCTTTTTACATACACACCATTCTTTTGACATCGTAGACCAAAACTTTTGATTGGTTCTTGTAGAGAATTTTACGGAGTACCTTATAAAAAAAATCTCTGAAGGCTGAAGGAAGGGAGAAAAAGGAAAAATAGTACGGGTAACATTCTTTATAGACAAGCCATTATATGCTAGAAAGTGCTATTTCTTTTTTTGTTTGAAAGAGAAAAGTCTGAACTCGATTACTCATTCAATTAATCGATATTTGGGTAGTAATTCTGTCACAAACAAAATATTGACTTGGCTAAAATTAAAATACGCCATAAAAAGAGCGTCCTAAAGACTAATTAATACCATCATTAGTTATTTTTCATTAACCTTTAAACTAGGGACGTACTATGTAGTTTTATCTTTCGAAATTCAATAATATAAACTTACATGAAAAAAGATCTTCTGAAATCATAAGAGTTGAATAAAGAACAAAGGGAAATATATGAGTTTTAAAGAATACTTTATTTATCATTGTTTGTTCATAATCATCATTGCATCTGATCACTCGATAATATGAATATCGCCAGAAGCGAAAATTTAAGATTTCAAAACATGAATTTTTCACTTTTGACTTGTAAAATCTTTTCCTTATAAGCTTTCTCTTATAAATTAGTATTACATATTTTTGATTATTGATTGACGAAAAAAAACTAATAATAGAAAATTTAAAAAAATACTAAACCGAGTAAAAAGAAAAACAAGAATCAAAAAACTAGATTAGGTGAACGAAAGAGACAAAATTTAAAACTAAATACAATCGGTCATGTATAATTTCTATATGAAAGATTATACAATAGTAGAAAATTTTCATTAAATCACAGATGTGACGAAAGTCACAATTATAATCTGTACTCTGATTAGACCAGACCGCTGACAATCAATCACCCACTAAGAGCACCTATTAAAAACAATTTTTACATTTCACATATCTGTAGTTCTGTCTCTCATTAGATTTCATATACAAGTTATGGTATTTTCTGAACCGTAAACTCAAATTATCACCATAATTTTGACTTTTTGTTTTATGTGAGAAGAAATTTGACCTAAACAACCTTTTACATGTTAACTATCTGTAGTTGAAAGCAAAATGGCTATAACTTCCTAGAAGACGTTTTTTCCATCTTGTCTCCTGAACCAAGGAATTTATGTCGAAAGCAATTAATCCATATACATGATTTTGTTTGAAAAGACGACTTTATTAGTTTAGTAAGTATTCATTAGATCCAAGTTGGCTATTATCTTTGCATCTTCTTTCGAAGAAGTATAAACAAATTTCAATACAAAATTGCTCTATTGTACAATTACTACGAAATACCAGTTTCGTTTTCTTTTCTACCTGTTACCTAAACTAACGCCATCAAAAACAAAAAAATAACATATGGTACAACTAAAATGACAATGAATCACTATCACCAACCTTTTTCGGCTAGAGATTCTTTCAATAATTTTAGCTAATACTTTGCTTTTGTATTTCGAGAGATATTGATCGTTTTATCATTAACTTTTAAGTCTAAACTTACTTAATACAATTTTAGGGTGATGGAATTTTATATTGAAATTTATCTTGTATCTGACTTGACAATAGATTTGTGAGTATGTATAATTATTTCACAACAATAATTGAAAGTACTCCTGTCTTGTGCATAGACTTTCTGGTCAAAATGTTGTACGTGATCATTCACTCACTTTCAGACTGCATTTATTAAAAAAACAGCAACAAAATAGCGTATCCCAATTAAGAACAAATGTCACGCATACACCTAAGATAGAGACCATAAAAAATAGCATAATATGTTGAGATTAAATAAAAAAAAAAAGGTGGGCATCGCAAGATAGTAAAAGGAAGAGAAAAATAAAATATTGCATCATACTCAAACCAGAACTAAAGAAAGGCACCAAAAACCTAACACGATAAAAACACAACAAAGAAGTTCATTTTGCTTTTCTTTATTTTCTTCACAACAAAAAAAAAAGAAAAAAAAATCAAATTAGATGTAGCGATTAAAACAAACAATAACAAAACGTTTTAATTTTTGATATGGCTGAGATTTATTTCTTAAACACACATATAATCTCATTCTTTAGACTAGCAAGATGAAAAACAAATTTGCGATGAAATAAATATTGCTAATAATTTACAACTGATTTATTTATTATGGCACTTTGCAATTAGGAAAAAGAACAAAAAAAAATCATGTGTAAAAACAACTGAAAAATAGTTGACGATAAAAAGCACAAAGCAAATCACATTTGTATGAAGAGTTTCATAACTAAAACAACTTCATAACATTGTAATATGTGTACAACAACATGAGGTGGGATATATCTTATGCAGAAAAAAAGGCACTAGAATGATTAAATATGCAAAAATATAGAAAAACCCTTCCCGTGCTTAGAGGTCAGTTATGAGAATGAACGAGAAAGATCTCAACAGACTTTCAGTTTACATTTTGTCAATGATGTGAAAAGCGCGAAGCGCGTCGGTTAAACTAATTAACTGTGAAAAAAGTTCTCCTTTCACCAATAATGTGAAGTTGTAGGATTAAAAAATAAACAAGTGAGTAGCAAAACAAACTTTTCTTTGTTCTCGTGTTACACACAAAAAAAGAAAAGTTTCTACTAGAGAGTTAGGGTACAAAATAGAAGACGACAACGGCATATATCAATTAGCTTTGTTCTCATTACATTCTGTACAGAAAAATAGACATTTGACTGTGCAAAAGAGGGCTAATCAACGACAAAAAACATAGTTGTCATTGATCACATGATAAAAAGTATTTCTAGCTAAAAGAGCATCATCATCTTCTCTGGAGGGCATATGGCTTTGCGTAGCAAAATAGATACAAACAAAAAAATATATAAAAGCATAAAATACGTGCGCAAGTGAAAACAATTATTCTAGAAAAGACAAAAGCAAAAATGACGTAAAAAATTCTATATATATAATATATATATATATATATGGAATGTGAAAGTTTTCAAAAATAAATTATTGATAGACTAACGTTGGGTTTACGTATAGATATTTTACAACAAAACTAAACAAAAATCAAATATCCGTATTTCTCTTGAGTTGCTACAGAAAAAAATTATCTGATATAACTACGAAAAAACGTACAGAATATATGATCTGAATAGAATCATTACTTCAAATCTTTTAAACGACGATGTTCGTGACGTTTTGAATACCTTAGAGAAATAGTATCTCCTACTTCATCAATAGCGGATAAAGCCTAAAATGAATAACAGTATTGCACTGGCTCATCAAATCAAAGTTAAGCAATAAAAAAGCCAAATGAAATCGCATGTTATCCAATAATAAGTACTTTAGACTTACTTTATCTAACATTTCTTTTGTATGAGAAGCAGATATACAAAATCGTACACGTGCTTCCAATAGCTTTGTAGCTGGAAATCCAACAGTGACAACAGCTATTCCTCGTGCAAGCATTTCTCTGTTAAATCGTCTACAATGCCAGACTAGACATTTTAAATACGAGTCAGGAAGACCTATTAATGAAACTTACGTGACTCGAGCTGGCATATAAATCATCATTGGTACCACCGGTGAGTTTTTGTTTCCATAAACAATAAAACCCATATCAACAAGGTTTTTTCTGAAATATCGAGTATTATCAGCCAGCTGCTGTATTCGTCGTATGCCTAAAATTGTTAACACTATGTAAGTAAAACAAAAAACACCACTAAACTATTTTTACCTTCTTTTGTACCATCTTTGCCCATTATAATGCGTATCGATGATAATATTTGATAAATAACTGGAGCACACATACTTGATGCGTAACAATTCGCATGAGAATTAATCCGTATGTGATCAATTAAAGACTAAATGGAACTGAATCTTGTCAATTATCTTTTCTTTTTCGCTCTTTTTTTCCTAACCTTTTTTCCTCCAATGTAGCCACCAGAACTTCCAAAACTTTTTGTAAACGTGCCCATTAGTATATCGATATCGTTTGGATTCATATTGTAATAGTCAACTATTCCTCTGCCACGTTTTCCCATCGAACCAATCGAGTGAGCTTCGTCCAAATACAAATAAGCCTTGTATTTCTTCTTTAATTCTACTATTTGCGGTAATCGACAAATCGATCCTTCCATCGAATAAATACCCTCAACAACAATGAGTATCTTTCGCCACGGACGATGATGTCGAGGCTGTCCATAAACAATTGCATCGTGAAGCTTTCGCTCTAAATCTTTCATATCTAGTATGAAAAAAGTTATAATTAGTCTTCAGATTGGATTAAACCACGCACACACACACACACACACACACACACACCATTGTGAGCAAATGTTTGTATTTTTGCCCCTGACAGCCTAATACCCAGTATAAGCGAGACATGATTTAATTCATCCGAAAGTACCAGATCACCCTAAACGAAACAAGTCTTTAATTAGTAATCATATTAAAAACTACTCGGACACAAGCTACCCAAATAGAAGATACATACTTTCGATACTAAAGCTGGAATATTTAACGCATTAGTGGCAAAACCCTAAAGAAAATATATTGTGATAAATAACACTTCAGGATTCAATATTTATATCTAACCATTCCGAATGCTATACAGCTTTCAACTCCCAAATATTCTGCCAATAAAGTTTCCAATTCAATATGATAGCTCTGTGTACCTGTAATAGGATACAAAACAAATAAGAATGGCAAATAATGTTTTTCTTTTTTTCATACCTAATTCAGACCTTGTACTACAAAGTGCAGAACCATAACTTTTAATCGAATTGATGGCAGCCGTTGCACATGGTCCGTCTTTTTCTGCAAATCCCAAATAATTGTATGAGCCAAGGTTAATTGCACGAATTTTATTTCCAGTATATCTAAAACAGACGAAATGAGAAAATCATCGATAAACAAACGAATTTCGGAATGTTAAGTACCTGTATGTCCAGTTATAATCATCTGAAACGCGTTCTACCAAGTCAAATTCACTTGAAGCCACACTGCCAATTGGTCTATTGAAAATATCGCGTACTCTTGTATACATATTTCGCGTATAGAATGATTCATAACTTTGATATAACGGCACGAAACCCTAACACATAAGAAAATACATCGATTTTCTCGTGAAAATGATAAAAGTTAATCACGTCATACCAGTTTTGCATTTGGATCGAGAGCGCCTTTCTTTCTCTCTACATACGACTGTCTCAAAAAGTCTCTTAACCATCCAAATATACAGAGTATAGCGTAGCTTAGATATGTCAACACAGCGGCATAGAGCGGTGTCTCTTCAAATTCTTCGCATTCATAATTGTCTTCCGTTTCTTCAAGCTAAAATATAGAAAAATGGACTGACTAAGGGTAAAGGAGTAGAGAAAGTAGCATCTGTGAGCACGTAAAAGCGCAATGATTGCACTTATTTAAACTTGCTTTGCTTTAAAATTTGATATCTACCTTTTCACAGTCCATCTTCTGTGTTTCGTGATGAAATGTTTGAAAACGCTAAAAAAAGAGAAAGAAGCAAAAATATATACAAGCAATCAACATATTTATTTTTTTATCATATATTGCCTCTTTTTTTGCGATGTTCAAATATGTGTCAAAGGTACACATTAGAAGGCGTACCTTAGGTCTAAGTGACGAGTATGAAGGATGTATATCTTTCTTTGTTGTTATTGTTTTTTCTAAATTGGAATAATAACTTACTGTGCATCTGTGCTGTGTTGTAATAGTGGACGTTTCTACTAGTTTTGATGCAAGCATATTTTTCTGTGTCAACAAATATCTGTTTTCTTTTCTTTTTTTTAAAATAAAAAAAGTCCGAAAGAACGGGACCAAAAATTAATAATGAAACAAATTATTAATATTAATTAGGACAGGTAATTTGTTTCTGTGATATATCAGACATAGTATAATTTAACACAGAGCACACATAAAACACACAAAGAAGATTGATTCCTGTCCTGTGGTGTGATAATAGGATGTTCCGTTTTATCGTAATACAAGTCATAAAAATGAGTCATAGCTTAATGAATTAATGACTCATTATGTCATTTTTTAAGATATCTTATTGACGTGCTCGAGATAAAATTATTTTTTGACAATCTTTTTCATTAACCTTAGTATTAACTGAGAAGACAAAATGGGAGCTTGATGAATCTGAAATTGTTTTCTCAGTACATGGATGTAAGTACATCGAACGACCGCGACATCTATTGCACGGGCTCTGAAATTTTTATAAACAAAAAGAAAAAAAGATTTTCTTTTTAACTCAAAGACTGAATTTCCTCAGCTTTACAAGAAAAGCATTCATAAACTCGTTGACACAGGCATAAATCTTTCTTTTCTGCTATGACGAAATTTTTAGGATGGTTATATTACTTCATAACACTTATTGTCATATTACTTATTGTTCTTCATGAAGTTCAAAATCTCATACTACAATGACTAAAGACCTTCGTCACGCACACATCTGATTAGAAGCAGTAACGAACTAATCTTTGATTATTTCCATAGTGAATGTACTCAAGTGTGAGTACTCAAAGTCGTACTCTGCTGAAAAATGTCCCGAGTACTCATGAGTACTCAGACACTTTTTTACTCCTTGAGTACTCATATGACTACTCATGAGTGAGTAACGAGTACTGTGGGTACGCCTTTGAGTATTCATGCTTGGGTATTGTTGAGTACTCATACAACTTTCGGCAAAATACTCATGAGTATTTTTCATCTGATATTTTCATATAGAGGAGTGATCTCAGGCAGCCAGAGTAGAACTACAAGTCTAGTCATAGACGAGTCCATCCCTGACCATACACAGAGAGACCAGTGAGAAAATAATAATATAAATATTCTATGTTTCTTCACTAAATTCTATGTTCTTTATACAGTTTCAGTTTAGCAAAATAAAACCGTGAATGAATATTTTCTGAGTACTCACATGAGTAACTGAGTACTCACTGAGTAACAATACTCAGAAATTGTCAGTAGTGCTAATATGAGTAAAGTCGTACTTATTGTATGAGTACTTTCACTAGGGTTGATAGATAAAAATATTTTGAAAACACTCTAGGAAAAAAATAATTAATTGGTTATCGTTTTGTAAAAAACTATATCCCGTGAAAACTCGCGGTACGAATTTTTAATAGACAAAGTGTTTGTGTTATGCAAAATTATTTAACCTATTTTAGGCGATGGTAATTGTTTGCTATACACATCCTGTATTTATTTATTTATGCGGTCTACACGATCATCAATTCATTTATCACCATGAATTAATAAATTTTTTCTCATCTAATGGATATCCGTGAAATATATATGGACAACAACAATAAGAAACGATTTTACGCTAATATTCTGCTCGGGTTATCCGAGTTAGACACTTAAACAGCAAGAGATTTTCTACCAAACGATCTCATTGGAATTTATCTACCATTGTTATAAATCCCGGATCAATATCGTCATTTTTCAGTCGTAGAGCACCGTTATATTCGTTTTGTTCCATTATTGAACCAAGAATCTGAAATATTACCATCCATTAGTGCACGAAATCAAAAGCAGTTTGTTCCTTCATTATTCTAGGGAGCACCTTTATTATGATCTTGTAAGATCATGTTACAAGATACCATAAGATTTCACAAAATCTTACACAACCATATGAAATGTTACAAGAATCCCATAAGATTTTTCTTGCAACAAGATTCCGTAAGGTCTTACAAGACCATGTGATAAGATCTTGAAATATTTCATAAGATCATATAAGATTTTATCAGATCTTACAAGATTATGTCTCTGATTCTGACCTACCGGTGCTCTCTAGACACACTTTAAAAAAAATTTTCTTTTCATCATATTTTCGAGCATAGAAAGCACTCTAACGTCCTGAGGAACCTGCCTAACCACGTTTCTTATAGTCATGTACTTTATTTGTGCTTACGAGGGAACCGCCCCAGATGCCCAACTCTGATTTCCTTCATTCATACCTCGTTTTATAGAGCACATCGAGCTGATAAAAAGCCTAAAAGGATTTTTGCCCATGGCTCTTGAAGTCTTGGGTTTCTGCAAAACCAGTTTTTGAGAAACTCTAAAAAATAATCAAAACCTTTCATAATGAGGCATAATTGTAGCCCGCACATTTCTGATTAAAATGAGACGTCTTTCAGCTCTACATGACCTTTCTTTCCAAAGTTATAGAATTTACAAGAAAAGTCCTAAATTAATTTCTTCTTATTTCTACAGCTTTGTATTGAGCTGACAATGAACATTTAGGGCTTTTCTTGTAAATTCTCTAACTTTGTAAAGAAAGGTCGTGTAGAGCTGGGAGACGTCTCATTTTAATCAGAAATGTGCGGGCTACAATTATGCCTCATTATGAAAGGTTTTGGTTATTTTTTAGAGTTTCTCAAAAACTGGTTTTGCAGAAAACCGAGACTTCAAGAGCCATGGGGAAAAATCCTTTTAGGCTTTTACCAGCTCGATGTGCTCTATAAAACGAGGTATGAATGAAGGAAATTGGAGTTGGGCACCTGGGGCGGTTTCCGTCGTTAGCTGATGTGTAAAGTTGGAGGAAGAAAAAAACCTAAGTTTGCCGTAAGAACTATGTTATATATACTATATATGGTGGCAAAATTTCTATGGTAAAAATGAATTATCACTTCTTGTAAGATTTTACAACAAGAAATCGTATGATCTTGTGATAAGACCTCAATATGAGTAAACACTCTTATTGATAAGATCTTAACATTTCTTATAAGCTGATCTTGTAAGATCTTACGACAAGAAGTTACACGATTCCGCAAGATCATACATGACCTTGAGATAAGATCTTGTAGCAAGATTGCATAAGAAATCATCAGATCTTATAAGATCTTGTAAGACGTCTTTCATCCAGAATATTATCAAAAACCCAACAGAGTAGTGGAGAAACTACCGGCGCGTTATTTACTAAATCAGAAATCAAAAAACAACCGAGATGCACGTGTTTAGTTATTTGTATATTGAACTGTTGCCAATTTATCACGGTAACAACATCGAAGATATTCAAATATGTAGATTGGGCACCACATCTTTACCAGCAAAATATGATATCATTCAAATGTTCAGTCAGCATATTGATGAAAAGAAAAATGGAACCGATAAATAATGAAACAGTAAGGACTAGTTAATAATTGATGTCGCGTTTAGATGCATTAAAGCCAAATGTACTTCAATTCATTGATACTAAGAGTGTCTATGAAAAAACATTTTAAATCTGATTTTTCAAATTTCGAAATTTTTATCGCGCTTAATAAGGAACGTCTTTTTCCAATGTATTCATATAAAGTTTATTGCGGATGAGTATAGGATAAAATAGTAATAGATAAACTTAACTCATTGCGATACTTTTGAAAAAAGAAGTTTTATTATAATTCGAAAGTTTTGTTAGACAGATAAAAAACTGTGATTGTAAAGTTACCAACGATGAAAAATACACAAAGTTTTCACGTTGATGCATCACAGTACATTACAAAGTTATTTGCGCATTATTTTTTTATGCATAGTTGTAGTGATGGTTATGTAACGTCCTATACCAGTTTGTGCACTGATTAATCTCGAAACTGAACTGCCATTTGTCGAAATCGTGTAGAGGCTGCATCACAATTTTCTATTGACTGACTACTGGACTAATAAGGTATTTCTTCAGTTTAACTTTTCTCTTTGGGATACACTATTTTGCTTTGGAGTTGAGCACTTTTTCAGCGGAGTTGGAGTCGGATTTGTCGTTTAGTGGTCAATTCCGATAAACTGGTTTTTAGACATTTTCAAATCGTTGTATAATCCTTTCTATTTCAGAGCAAAAAAATGTATATCTTTTTTCCGAATTTCTATCATCAGCAGTGTGTGTGAGTATGTAATATATATGATGTGTTGAACATGTGTATTCGTAAGAAGAAAAAATGTATTGAGACGAGAGGAGGGAACGCGTGTTGGTGTTGGGAGAAAAGAAATACACAGATGTACTATCGATAGAGCTGTGTGGCTCAGCATATATGTCGCGCATTCACCACATGCGAATAGAAAGTGTGAAGCAACGAGCACTCCTGTGGAAAGAGTATTTTTACAGAGTGGGTTTGTTATGCACAAAGAGCAAGTTTAGCCAAAACTGTTATAAATGTTAACCCTGCTCGAATGGAACTCTGATGTATTATTGGAGACCTTTTTGTTTTGCTATTGTGAAGCTTTTTGTTCTATGTAATAATACGATATTGGAACACCGTTAGAAAAAAGTGATAGAAAAATCTGTGTCCACAACAAAAATAAACAAATAAGAAATCGGACTTGGAGTTGATTAAGTCCGAAGTTGCCTAGCCCTGCAACGAAGTCAATTTCTTTTCGTTTCTGAGGTACTTGTCGATTGAAGTCGAACGTTTTCTCAATAACTTGACTACTCAGATTGCATCGTAAGATTACAAACATTTACCAGTTTTGTATTTTGCTATTGTTTTGTTTTTGGATTAAAAATATTTATTATACTTGTGATGATAAACATCTCTCTATGAGAGAACCATATAAATATTAAAATCAAAATAAACTTCGACATGTTCCAAAGTAAATGGGGTCAGTCTTCAACATGTTCTTAGTGTATATGAAAACTTTTAGTTTTACTCTTATTTTTCAGGCGGAGACTTAGTGGCTGGTTTGCCGATGCCAACAAATATATTGCCTTCAAATAATTCTTCAAACTTATCTTCAACAATCGTTCAGTCATCAACTCCTTCCACACCATCTTTTCTCACCATTAATTCATCTGTCAGCAATCATTCTCATCAAAATAATCAAAATAGTCATCAATTACATCAGCAGCCATTATCTACGATAGTTTTGAATACCGTGAACGATCAGCGACGTCGTCAAGCTGCCTTCGATGCTCTGAGTCAATTAGAACGGTATATTGTGTTCTTTCGCATATATCTTAAGTATTTTAGAGTTGTTATTGATTTCGTTTAGTTATCATAATGACTTACAAATGATGGTAGAATCATATGCAATCGATTCTTCGTTATCTACCTCATCCACTACACAAATTTCTGCTCGCACACATCAGCAGCAACAACCATCACACACCGATAAGTCATGTCAATCGTTTCCATTACTCTGTTCAACATCATCGGCTGAGTCTACGTCCACTCCATCGATGGATCTTCCAACATACCCATCATTATGTTTTAACCAAAAAAGTTCATTAGACATTTCTCGTTCTGTACAGCAATCTCATAACAAAATGCCGAATGATTTGTATTTACCACAAAATTCTAACTTGTTATTACAACCGCAAAGTGCTATCGCCACTGTAGCATCTGCTTTGTTACAAAAAACAGTCGTTTCAACTGATTTTTTATCTTCACCAGTTAACATTACGTCGTCGAATGCCAACAACAACCATAATATAATTTTCGATCGTGATCCGGCGGGAATCAAACCACAGGACTTGGACGATACGTTGAGATGGCTATTGATACAGGTGGGTTAAAAACGTAAGCAACTACACTCTAAAAAAAAGTCGTAGAATAAAAAACTAAAAAGGGTTTTTCATTTTAAAACGACACCGAACGCTTTTTTGTATTTTAAAGTGCTCAAAAAATCCTGCGAAAAACCCTTATTTATTGATATACCCTTAAGGGTTTTTCGCAGAGTTTTTTGAGCACTTTAAAATACAAAAAAGCGTTCGGTGTCGTTTTAAAACGAAAAACCCTTTTTAGTTTTTTATTCTACGATTTTTGTTTTAGAGTATACTTCGGAAAATGCGAAAGGGAAGGTATTTGTTGAAGAAACTTTTTTGTTAACAGGTTGGACCGCACCAACCTAAAAATGATGATTTTAACATGAGCATATTTCCTTCTCCTGGCAACAAAATTGTTCGATTTCGGGCAAAATGGTTTGATGATGTTCGATTCAAGGTATGTGAACTGGGAGATGTTCCTTTGCTTTATATTAAAATCATTTATAGTAGATCTGTCTTTCATTCAAGGACTGGTTAGAATATTCGTTAAAAAGTGGGCGAGCCTACTGTTTTTATTGTCGAATGTTTGCTGATACAAATCGCAATCGTGCTTTTGCAAGAGATGGTGAGCGATAAATGCCTTCGAACTTGATAATGACCAAAGAATATTGATAAATACGCCTTAACTAATCTGTTTTAGGTGTAAAAAATTGGAGAAAATGTCTCGGTTCAAGAGGTAGAAAGAAACGTGTAAATCATCATCGTCGCACTGATGATAATAATTCTAAAACAATATCAGCAACAGTGCAAACAGTAAATTTAGTAAATATTAGTGAACATGGCCAGTCAGAGTTGCTTGGTGCACAACGTCGAGGATTATTCGAAGGACATTGTGAATCTGAATCTCATCGTCAAGCACATAAAAAATTCAAAATATTTGTTGAAAAAATGAATTTTGAATCACAAATACAACAACAACAGCAAATAATAAATCAAAATCAACGTAAGAATTAAGAGAATAGTTCGTATATATTCTCGTTTTCGTTTATTACCCAATATTTAGATTATTCTGATCAACACTTGTTGAAACCATTGACTATTCATATACATCTCTTACAAGAGCAAATTAAACGAGAAGGTGGTTTATGAGAGAAATTAATATTTTTCCATATGATACGCATTTCTACAGTTTTGTGCATTCTTGTAAATGTTTCTTTTCTTCTACTTGGTTTTACTTTTCTTATATAATATCGGTATTTGTATCGCCTAAATTTTGTTGGTCTCATATTACACACATTGTTGACTTTTTAAGTAATTTTTTATTTTTTTTATCAAAACTTTTTTTTGTAAATAACCGTGATCATTTGTTTTGTAGGAGATTATTGTTATGCAGACATCTGTTTTTGTTTTTTATTTTCTACACGGAACAAAAACAGTTTTTTCGAACTGCATTCAATTTTTATGATAAAGACGAAAAAATAATATTTTTCTTTTTATCGAATATAAAATTAAAGAGCTGTATAATAGTTAAAACAATCCAATCGGACACATTGAAAGAGAAGAGTGTAGTTTAACTTTGCTTAACAAAAGATAAAGATCGCCAGTCATTGGCTAGTGTGTTTTTACAATGGATGATACTATTTCTACTAACTCTTACGTTTCTATGATGGAATACACATTGTTTGACTCAATCCTTAAAATCACTCGGCTGAACCGTGGAATGTGCACAACAGATTTTCAACTAATCGTTTCATACGACTATTCTCGAAAAACAAATTCCAATCGCACACTTACCTAACGGGAGGGAGATAAAAACTCTTGGGCATCCTTGAAGTCCTCTGTTGCAGTTCAGTGTCGACAATAGTTTAACATTTTTCCTTCTGATTGCATTTCAAACGTGAAATCTTATGCAAAAACCATAACTTGAACATGATGAATCGAAATAAAGAGGTCTGTTTCATATATTTCTTCCACGTCAAATATGATCATCTTGAATTTACGATGAAACTTTCAAGGTAGATAGATCAGACATATTTAAGATTACCGTGTTCATGTCCCTCTGCGTTTTGGAGACCACTTTCATGACACTTTCTGGATCAACCAATTTTTTGAGGAAGACTTATCGACAGAAGAATAGCGGTGAAGCATTTTTTTATAAAATACGCCTAATTACATAAAAAGAATTTGAACTATCAATATCCGGGATTCCAGAGGCCAAGACCGTTAGAATCAGATTAGATCTTCGTCGTTCTTGGTCGAAGTTTAAAATTCAATCCCTATCTGTACGATATACTTGATAGATTAGTACTTTACAGGATCACACTCTAAAAAAAGCATACCTTAGAAAATTCTAAATGTTTCGAAAATTCTTCCAGAAACCTTTTCCCGTATTCGAACTGAACTCAAAAATCCTTTTTCGTTTTAGAGAATACAGTCGGGATGTTCGAAATTTCGAAAAGCCTGACTTTATTCTGTTAGAAAAGATTCGCATACTCGAAACAATATGCTCGAATATCGAACAAGGTATTTTCTAAACCCTTTTTGTGTCAAAAGTTTTTCTTACATAAGTGGAGTTAGAGGACCACGGGGTTTTGATTTTAAAACACCTGCATGAAAACTGATGGAGAAGCGTATCACCAGATCCGGGCATACGCCCAGAATACACAGGTATGTGCGAGCACCGCTTGATGGCACGGAGAGATTGAACTTATATTGTCTTCGATGTGTCTGAAAAATCTAACGACTTTTTTCTTGATTTTTTACTCATCAAGATAAATTCCTAAGAAAGGACAATCCATACTACTCTGAGGGGTTTTAAAAAAACGTCTTCAGTTTGTTTTTTGTCCGGAACAAATCGTAATAATTCGCTTGTGGATCCTTTGATGGCTTCTCGACCTCGAGATTCGGGCTTTAGGAATTAGGAGACAAAGTTTCTTCTCACGGAATTTTGGAACTTCCTTGCGAAATCTCTTGGAGCTTCGGAGAAATTTTTGTCTGTTGAAGTTTAATCCTGCGAAAAACTTGCAGAGTGGCTCTTTGTTTTGTTTTGATCATCAGTTTTGAAAAAAATCTGATTTTCTTTCACAATTTTAGGCGTCCTTAGAGCCAAATATAATAGGAAATCTTGAGTACATAGATTCTCATAGTCCCCTTGCTTCAAAGAACTATTGAGAAGATTATTCCAAAAGGAAAAACGGGGTAAAAATTACTAAAACTTTTAAGTTCCATTTTAGATAAAAAAAAACTCAATTATTTTCAATTTTTCGGTTAAAATACGCGTAAAACTGACAAAAATCATTCGAAAATGCACGCATCAAAATATGGACAAAAGATCGATCGGTTGAAAAAGTTTTATCATTCGGCATCTGCTTTAAGCCTGATCCAAATGAGAAGATTAAAACATGCTGTCACAGTTTTCAGATAAAGAACGCTGAATTGAAATATGTGACTCAGCTATAAATACAAATCGTTTGCAACTATATTGGAAAGTTTACCAGCATGCATTCATCAGTCCAGAGAAATTAGTTTTCGACTTTTGGGATACTGCATGGTTTCTGTCCCTTCTTTTAAACACGAATAATAATCCGCTTTTTGACAGTCTTGTTAATGAAAGAAAACTGCAAATTATATTTATATTCTGTGGCTCGTTCTACTAACCAGCGTTAAACACAGTCGGGCTTACGGTTAATTGAATCTTAACAGTATCTTTTATTTTAGAATCGTCTCCTGTAGGCAGAAAACGAGGATTTTTGAGATTAATAATCTCTGCAGTATTGCGTACTATTGCAGTACTTTGCGTGATTCCATTCTCGATATGAAAAATGATACAAAACAAATATATACTTGACTAAAAAAATGACTCGAAAAATGACTCAGGTAGAAAAATGATAAGAATTAAATTTCGATGTGCATTCGGTTTGCTTATGGAGCCATTCTCAGAAGAACTGCTTGTCTCAATTTCGATCAAAATACAACAATGTTAACGTCTATTCTCAGATGAAATATATCTTATGAGCTCTTGCAAGCTTTGATAATTTCTTGTACAACCTTACTACAAGTTCATGTTTAGGTGTCATCAATTCATAATTCATGCAAAATCTTTTTTTTTTCTTTATTTTTTAACATGAATGGATAGAGCTCATCGAGTTGCCCAAGAACATGTGATTTAAATAAATAAACATTTCAACAATAACAGTAAATAAAAACATATGATATAGAGTAACATGGGCTAATTATGGACAGACTTTCAAATTATTACAGTATTCAAATCTTATCTGACTCACTTCTTATCAGAAAAAAAATGATATTATTCAGCTAGATAGAGTGAACATTTCTCTATCGACTAATGCAAAAGTTGTCTGAAAATTTATTTAAGTTTAATTACTGCTAGTCATTTTCCACAGAGCTACTATCAACTGTCTCATAAACTATTTTCTGTTTGGGCTAGTGGCACAGTACTATTTACCTGTGTATTTATACACAACAGCAAGAAAAAATAGAATTAGACGGTCCGTCGTGTCCAAAAATCAACCACGTTTATCAGAGATGATGCGGACTGGTACACGTTATTGTTAGTATGAAAAAAGTGACAATATGATGTTCTGCTCTACATACTGATTGTTTTCCGATTGCTAACTTTTTTTCTCAAAATAATAGGCCTTGAGTCACTCATATCAGTGGAACATCATATTTGTAGAACAAATCGATACGTCAGGTCTCCAGAGGATCTAGAAAAAACTTTCCATGATCCTCCAGAATTTTAGCAAACTAATTTCACCATCGTGACTGGATGACTTCAGACGAAAATAAAAATAAAAAGTTTTCTGGAAACCCTGTAGGAGACTTTAGGCCTCAAAAACCCGAGCGAGAGCTGTCGCGGGACTGAGTGTCAGAAAATGTTCCTGGATACCCCCTAACACGATTCCAATGCAGAAAACATGAAAATATTTTGGAAGGGAAAACGGCCTTATCCGGTCACATCCTTTGTAAAACATTTCAACAACAGCAGAATGATTATTCCGATGGAACTGGCATATTGAATGAACGTTTAATGCCATTAACGCGAACATTAACGAGTTGATACAAATGAACTTCTGGAATCCGGTGAATAATACGGTGACAGCCTGATGTAGTTCGTTTGTATCAAACATATTCCGAATGTGGAACAAAAGTTTCACTCGTTTATTGGTTTGACGTAAGATTATTTTTTTTGTTTCTTATTGAATATTAAATTTGATGAGTGTGACAGTTATGTACTCAACTAATATTTTAGCGAAGAAGTCATAACGAACGAATAATATTAAATATTTATTATTTAAATAATACACTCTACGTTTCGGTCTCTTCTTAGAGCCATTATTCAAGAGAAATGTGCAATTAACATTTTTAAATGTACAACTGCAGTACTGTATCAATATATATAAAAAATTTTGACTGTGAGGAGAGAAAATTCATGAAAGAAATAGTTAGAGAACAAAAATAATAATGTAGTAAACATATTTGTAGTTCTCTCTATTGTTTTTGTTCAACTCGATCATCAGGATCATACTTTTTTATTCGAGAGAGTCTGTCTGGATAGACAATCAAAGGAACAGATCTAACAGTACTGTTTAGGCTAGAATTATTTGCAATGATAATAGAGAGATAAGATTCTATTGAATCACTATCAATCAATCAATCAATTTTATTTTAATGCATGATTTTAATAAAATGACAGCGTAATGACAAAAGTTCAACAAAGAACTTGTCTAGGTCATCCCCAGTAAAAAAGAAAAAAAAAAGATAGGAAAGAAGTTTGAACAATAGAAAAAAATGGCACAGTAAAATAAAATATAGCTTAGTATGTACTATTAACTACTCTAAGAGACAAGATGTTTCTTTAATGCACGTTTAAAAAGCCCGAGCACTAAAGACAGCAATCACTTCTCTTGGTAATTGATTCCATCCTTTATAGTTTTTGATAAAAAAGAAGATCTAGTAGTCTTACGTTTTAACAAGGAAACATGATCACACGCCAATCATTCCAGTCGATGAATGTCCAGTTTCATAATAATATTTTTGAATAGCAGAATTTTTCACAAAATCTAATTTTAGATTTGTATACTCTTTTGACGTATTCATTTGAGATATTTGTTCTTTAATGCGAATTG